TTTCTCAAAAATGACTAAAAATGCACTCATTTGACTTAAAATACTTAGCTATGTCCATCTTTGTGGTTAAAATTCAGAAACATATACTTTTTTGATATGCTGACTTTTTGTGCTAGTCTGTGCTGGCGTGTGAGCGTGTGCCCGTGTTGGCAACATCGGCCTGCCATTCTCTGGTACGCCAAAAATAAAAGTTATTTTTGAAATCTTCAAAAACAAAATTTTTTCATCCAGTGTTTATGATCCATGTTTCTGCAGCTGCTGAACAGTGGCCCCAGCACCATCAGTAAAGCCTCTCTGGACGTCCTGTGGCCACACAGGCTTAAGGACGACTTCCTGCTCTATATCACCAGCTTCAAGACGGATGGACCGATCAACTGCACCACCGACCAAGAGATAAACCCACTCAATGTTTCGGTGACATACACACACACACACGCACACATCATAAGTTTAGCGCTTGAAAAAATTGAATTTGTAAGAAGTTGGTGTGTGTGTTTGTGTGTGCGCTCACATTTTAGACCCCGTTGACATCACAGAAGAACACAAGCGTGGTCCCACCCAGAGAAAGAGAGACTGAAGGACGAAACAGGAACCACGTCCAGAAAAGAGACGTGGAAACCAGGGACAGTCAGAGTGACCAGCAGATACTGGTACCACTGTAGGACTGTACGGCTGTGATCCTGCTGTGTGTTACTCTGCCTCATGCTCTGTGTGTGTGTGTGTGTGTCACTAGGACTGTGCCACAGCTGATTGTCTGAAGCTCCGCTGTCAAGTCGGCCGCCTGGAGAGAAAACAAAATGCCATTCTCTATATCTCTGCTAACTTGTATGTTAGCACCTTCCTGAAGGTTCGACACACAAATGCATTGATGCGTAATCACACACACGCACACACACATTCACGCACGCTTTTCTTTTTCAGCCTGAACACCAGAACCGCTCCTTCGAGGTCCGATCTTCAGCTTCCTTCAGTGTCATTGAGATGCCCTACAAGAACCTGGTGTCGGAGCTGCCTTCAAACAGTACCACAGTGAGAACATGTTTTTATTCCACAGTAACACTTTGTCCACTTTGTTCTCAGTGGCATCCAACACACAAAAATCTCGTTTCAGATGAGTGTCTGGGTCATGTGGGTCGCTGACGCTCCTCAGTCAGTTCCCATCTGGGTGGTGATTCTGGCAGTTCTCGCTGGGCTTTTGCTGCTGGCACTTCTTATCTTCATCATGTACAAGGTGAGGAGGCGGAGCTTCAGACTAGGGCTGGGCAAAAAGTCGTGGTGACATCAGTAACACAGTAAAACAAAGTGAAGAGATTTTCCTAACAACGAAATCTCGCGATATTTTTTAGTATGAATATTTTGGCAGAACCCTACTTATTCTCTGTTCTTCTACTTTCCATGCAGCTGGGGTTCTTTAAGCGTGTGCGCCCCCCACAGGACGACTGTGCTGAGAAGGAACAGTTGCAGCCAGAGGAGAATGGAAATGCGGATTCCTAGTGGTTAGTGACTGTCGGTGTAGGAACTAGGGTTTTGGTACAGATACAGGAAGTGCTGCTGGGTTTAACCTTTGTGTTGTGTTTTAAATTTTTTGGTTGTTTTTGTTAAAACAGAAACTCACATTTTCTCACACTTTCACTCCAATCTGAGACCATTTCTTTCTGAAAAACGTGTCTTAACCTGATTGATAAACAAAGTTTTAGTTGTGTATAAAATATTACAGCGCGTAGCCTTGTAGATAAATTGCACTAATTATAACAACAAAACATTTCGAACAATAAACACGGCCAGTGGCTGACTCTCACAAGTTTGTTTACATGACATGAAAGACGAGGAGTAATCCCAGAGTTCGGACATATTTTGTGGTTGTTTGTGAGGTTGCAGAACCAAGGTTTAACAGTAGGGGCAGGTGCAAAAGAAATGGAGGCCGACTGGACGGAGTAGGTTTCTTGAAGACGTTTCTCCTCTCTGTCACTGAATGAGAGTTCTCTCTTGGATGAGAGGGTGAAACGTCTCCAAGAAACCTCCAGTCGCCCTCCGTTTTACTATTTTTTGGATAAGACGACCTGGATGACTATGTCTTGGAGAATATTTTTGGTAGGTCAGCAGAATTCTAACAGTTTTGTTCCTGTTGTGTGGACACAGTTAATATTTATTTCTCAGACAACTTAAAAAAAACAAACAAGTAAAAAAAAGAAAAATGTTACTATAAAAAGTAAAAAAAAAATTCTACCACCTCCCTCGTCAAGAAATAATAGTATTAATTCAGATAAAAAGTTTTTTAAATATAAATTTACCATTGATTTCATGTTTTATTTTTGTATGATTGAATCCATTTAATTTCAACTGTGTGTGTGATGACAACTGTTATAGATGTCAAAAATAACTTACTCCAGCTCTAGTGCTTCTTGCTGGTTACAAAAAATATGCACAAAAAACATATGGCTGAAAATCTTTCTTTTTAGTTTTTCCTCTTCGAAATTTAAAAATTATGTAAAATTAAAATGTAATATTTTTCTGTAATTGAACCACTGACTTTGATTTTCACATTCTAGGAGTCACACATATGTTTAAATAGTCTTTAATGAAAATAAGTCACTTTTTGTCAAAAATAAAGTCAGTTCTTGATATTTGTTGTTTCTTTGCTTGTTTTTTTTTTCTTCTTCTGACAAACAACATAAAAATGACAAACTGAGTTGACTGTAACTTTCACTGAGAATATTGTTGTCTGATTGACAGATCCGGCCATCGTCTGTTCACTCCACTTCTTTGCAGGAACACAGCAGCCTCTTCACTTGTGTGTAGACATCTTTCATTTTCAGACCGTAAACTATGGGGTTGCAGAGGTTTGGGATCAGGAAGATCAGGACCGAGGCCAGGATCTGGTTGGTTTCTCCTCCAGTTTGCAGACGCCGCTGCAGCAACTCCACCCCCGTGCTGACAGCGTAGTTGGTGAAGACGAGCAGGTGCGGGATGCAGGTGTTCAGGGATCGGAGGTTCAAGCCTTTGGTTCCACGCATGCTGATGAAGAGGATCCTGCTGTAGGAGAAGAGGACAAAGAGCACGGGTGCCAGCACAGTGACAGCGCCGCCCAGCAGACCGTAGGCCTGCATCAACATTGCAGCTCTACCGGGGCAGCTGATAAACACAAAGCTGTAAATGTCACAGTAAATTCTGCTGACCTGTGACCCACACAGGGGCACGCGGCTTGCCAACAGCACGGCCCCGCCCACCACACACATTGGCAGCAGCCAGCAAAGCAGCAGCAGCCCCCCCACCATCAGCGGTGTCATCAGTGTGCTATAGTGCAAAGGCCTGCAGATGGAAAGGTAACGGTCAAAGGCCATGGCGGAGAGCAGCATGAAGCTGCTACCTCCCACAGAGAAGACCACGAAGGCCTGACCCAGACACGCTATCCGTGAAATCTCCACAAAGCGCTGCCCAGACGCCAGGTCGCTCAGCAGTTTGGGGTAGAACGCCAAGCTGCCAGCGAGCGAATTGATCAGGACGGCGGCGACAAAGACGAACATGGGCCGACGGAAACGGGGCTGAGAGCAGATGATGTAAACGATGAGGATGTCGGCAAAAAGCATGAAGACGTAACATGTCGAAAACATCAGGAAGAAGTGCCAACGATGCTCGTACAGCTGGGCGAGGCCCACGAGCGTCAGTGATGACACCGCTGAGGTCAGGTTTGCGTCTGAAGACATCGCAAAAGCTCAGTGGCAACTGGGTCAGAAAGCACCCCCTGGTGAACAGCTGCTGTAATTTTTCTGTGACTGAATTTTAATGGTCATTTGAGTGGGAGATGTCGGGGCTTCTGCAGCACAGATATCTGCTTCAGTATCCAACTAGGTGAAAACAAAGTTAAGCTGTAAAATGTCCTAGATATGGATGCTGAAACAAAGTTTACATTTGAAAAGCATGAATAGTTAAAAGGTACAAAACCTTTTGCTAAATAGATAAAGTCAGTTGGTAAAAATGTTTAAAAATCACTATTAAAAGGGGGAAATTAATGGCAATGGAAAAATAATAATCAATAAATAATATTAATCAGGCCAGGACATAGAAAAGTTAAAGACAGGGTTAGGAAGGTTGGGTTCATGTTAAAACAAAGTGTTTCAAGATTATTTTAAAAGAACAAAAAACAAATAATTAACAATATCTGCTGTAAATGTCAGATTAAAACTATGGATTGAAATGTTTTTTGCATAATATTTTTTTTTCTACACAGAAGAGAATGTATTCAGAATGGATGTTGAACAACATCTGCTGTCAGAGGTAAATCTCAAACAGATCCACACCTGTAATTTTCCAACAGTAACACAAACACCACTAACAATATTTGTCAACTTTCTGCAGGACAAGCAACACGTGAATATCCAGAAACCAGTGACAGTGATCTTCAAAATCGATCAGAGTTCACACCTGGTCTCCGGCAAAGAGCCAGCGTTTCTGTGAACAGAAAGAGCAAAGATCATGGAAATATCTGCATGAACGTCGGGATGAAGATCAGGAGAAACACAGAGCATCAAATGAATCAGGTACAATCAATCTCAAAACACAAGAAACATCACCCGTCATAACATCAGAAACATCAGAGAAAACCAGTGTTAAGACAAGAACATTAAAGAACGTCACTGTGGAACACGTGGTGCAGAACGATGGAGAAACAGAAGTGTTTCACACAAAAGAAGGATTAACAGTCAAGCGACACAGAGGAACTCTAGTTAGGGTTAGTTTAGGGTGAGTGTCCGGGCAGGTCGAATCCCTGTAAAGACCACCCCGACTTCCTGTCTGTCTGTGTGTGTGAGAACTCCTTTTATACATCTATGGTTCTCTGAGGAACTCATTAACTCCACAACAACAACAACAACAACAGCAGCAACTGTCAGTCAACACCTGCGTCTTCATCTTCATCATCTCCATTTTTTATTATCTTCATCATTTTCTCTCTCACCATCAACTTTATCATCTTCCAATTTATAATCAACTCCATGATTACACTTGTCGTCCTCCTTAACTTCATCAACTTCATTATACATTACATCATCAGCATCATAATACATTTATCATCAGCTTAACCCAGGCATGGGCAAACTAAGGCTCTAGGGCCAGATGCGGCCCGTTCAACTTTTTAAATCTGGCCCGTCAAACTTTTCCAAATTCTACTTATTTATTATTTATTTGTAGTATTAATAAACGTCTGTCATTTCCCTGCAATACCCACATTTCTCCAATAGATGATTTAGATAGATGATGCTAAAGAATTTTAGCATTTTAGCCTGTATGCATGGGTTTTACGTGTCATTTATCTTCACACGTACACTCCATCTTTCTGCTCCATGACCAGTGACTGATGTGTATGTTCTTCCCTTAATATAAACAACATTTAAAACCAAGGGATTTTTTATGCAACATAAGTTAGAACCTAATTACAGTTTTATGAAGTTGTGTAGGAGAGTTGTGTTGTAATGTTCGGCCACAGTGAGGAGCAGAGTGAAGTGATGTCGTCTGCTGGGACAAACGCTGGTTCCAATCACTGTCATTTGCATTAAATGTTTTTTAAACAAATGTTTATTTTTTTCGATAAATGTAAATATATTAAGATATTCCTTTCTAGACTTGAGTTGAGACAACATTTATTGTTTTGTTTTTTTTAATACATTTCTGGATCATTAATGATCTTGTTTGTCCTGGCAAGTTGCTGCTAATGATCTTCTTAATCCCACATGACACCATTAACGAGTGACCACATCATCCCTGGTGACATAATTAATGAGTGACCAGCTGATGTTAGTTTGTATCACAGGACATGTTCTCATCTTTAACAAAAACATATTTTGTTAACATGTTGAATTCCCTCTCTACCACGGCATATATTAAGCATATATTAAATAGCTCGCTAGTGGAAATTTGGATTTTGACTAATTCTTTTTGTAAATGACAATTTTGGATTTTTTTTCTGCATGTTCAAATCAAACTAGAGCATTTTCAGAATTTTCTTTATACTTTTTATTTCTGAATTTTTCTTGGCAAATTTGAAATTTAGCATGTCACTTTGGTCAGATGTTGAAAATGATAAAATTATGATTTATTTTTATTTTGTTGAATGGGATAATTTTGAGAATTTTTAGCAAAATATATTTTTTTTGGCAATTTTAAAATTTAGCCTGTCATTCTAGTCAGATCTTGAAATATGACAAAACTATAAAATTATATCTTTTTTTGCATAGTTTTCATCAAATCAGGCCAGTTAGAATTAAAAAAAAAATCTTTTGTAATAAATGTTTTGTCAAAATTGGAATTTTTTGTTATTTTTGGTCAGATTTCATCAAATTTTGAAGAAAATAATTGGCAGCATGTTTTAGGACATAGT